ACCACATTATCGCCTTGTCTGTCGAAGGCATGGCGATAGATAAACTCTACTTCATCTGCCCCATGCCCTCTGTTACATTGATAAAAGATCATGTTGACAGTTGTTCTAGTTATAATTCTAGTTCGAAAAATGGTTGTTTTACTGATTAGAATCAGTAGAACGTTATTAAGGCCACTTAACTAACTTATTCTCTTGTGTGCTGATATTATTGACACACATGGGCTCTACTTCATCTGCCCGCCTTTTGATCATAACGGGAAAAGATGATGATGCTGATGACAGCTACTCTAGATAAGACTCGTCTATACAGACTTAAGAAATAAAAAAAAAAGATTGTTAACGAAATATTGCAATTAATTAAACAAATATTAAAACCGAAAACAAGGAGATAAAACATAACAAGTTGAAAAATCTGATGAAAAACAATTTTTATACGCAGAAAATATAATTCAGAAAAAAAACATGTAACAGATATTTTTCAATAAAAAACAGTTAACAGCAAGAAGCAAGATTAAAAGTGTAAAAGATATCCAAAAGTTATTTGTAATTTTGTTACGCCATATTTGTACTCTATGGATGTATACACTAATATTTGGAATTCAGTACGTGTGTGAAGCGCTAGTCGATTCAAGCAGTCGCAGCTACTCTATTAGTCAAATTTATTTTTAATATTTTGTGTTTAATGTATTTATTTTTTTTACCCAAAAATTAATTCTACATGTTTGTGTAGTTGTATTTAATTTGAATAATAAAACTCAAATAATAACAAAAAGCAAAACTTTTACATAGCGACAGTTTCAAGGGATCACGTAAGCTCCATAAGGTTTCAAAATGTCTTATTTGGAATATTTCCTTTTTCAAAAATGTTTATTTTGCAATATTTTTGCTTTTTTGTTGTTTATTTTTTCATCCACAGAACTAATACCTAATAACTAAATCTAGAAATCTAAATGCGTTAATTATTCTAAATTAAGCAGACGAGCTAATTTTTAATAATGTATAATAATCAAATGTGTAATTCTGTGTCGGCTTTTCGCAAATTTCCGGTATGTTTATTTTTTTACGCCAAGAAGAAACACTATTTTCGTCTTTTCTAATTTACTAATAGTAAAATATTTTACAAAATTGACACCAATTTACATAATTAGTTTAATGTGTAAGTATTTTAAAACGTGTATTACTACTATTTACAATAGTTATTTATATTTCATACATATTTGGAAACAATAACACAAACAGGATTTGATGTAAACCTAGCTTATATTAAAACTGATTATATTTCAACTTTTATAAATGTGTTTATGTTCAAAGCATATATTTTAATCCTGCATTGTTTTTTACTTTGCATTTTATTTAGATAAATAATCCTAATATATAAAAGCCCATGTGCGCACTTCTCTCTCTCTCTCTCTGTGTCTCTCTCTCACACTCTCTCTCTCTCTCTCTCTCTCTCTCTCTCTCTATCTCTATCTCTCTCTCTCTGTCCGCAAAATATTTTCGCAGGATATCACATCAGAATCTTCAGCGATATTTGGAGAACTTGTTAGTGACGTATTTGTGTAGAGACTTGGTTGCTGTGAGTTTGGGTGTGAGTTAGTCTAATCATGATCGTCGGTGTTAAAGGACGTGTGCTGGCTGGTATGACTCAAGTTATGAGAAATATATATGTAGATACAAGAAAAAAGTGTTAGACTAGGAATACTGAGTTTGCCTTATCTCTGAGCGTCACATATTCGTCGGAACGTGAGCTAGCCTTATTGGTCCTTAAGGTTAGAACCTCTCTACATGGAAGTGGAGATGAATTAAAATTGTATTTGACTGAGTCAACTGACTCAAACCCTCTCGCACTAACAAAAGCGTAACACTATAATACGGACTTTTGTTGAAAATAATATGGTAGATGTTTTAAATGTATAAAAAAATTCTTTAAAGAAGAAAAATAAAAAATAAAGGCATATTCGAATGCAGAAAAACAGTTTTAATTATGCATCCGGAAAAGTGTTTATAGTTGGGACAAGAACGCCGAAATCGATGACGTCACATGTCATATGTTTGAAGTATGGAAAATACACAAAACCAATGGCGTCATCTTCCAATTTTAGAATACGAAGAAATGAACTATTTCCTTAAAATTTGATTTAGACCTATAGATTTACTTATTGAGACGTAATATATGAAATTTATACAATTTCCTCGGCCAAAACTAATACAAATTACTTTAAAAAATAAAATAAATACCTTATAAAAGCCGGGTTTTTAACGGAGTCATTTAAGTCTTTTAAACAATGTGTGCATTAATATGGTGTTGTGTTGACTAATAGGTATTAGTAGCCGATGTTATATTTAATGTGTCTGTCTTTTAGCTATTTAGTTATTTCTTTGCTTTTTCACTAATATCGTTAAACATGTAGTAAAGCACATTGCGTTTTGACCAATAACTATTTTATAAAATATTCTTCTAAAAATGTATACCATTAAAAATATATACACAGATAATTCACGTGTAGCGGGTACCAACGGCTAGTAAACTAATATGCCATTTTAATTTGAAAAAGTGTTACAAAGGATTTTGATTTCAAAATACGACATGAGTGTAGCACTGTAATATTACATAACTTTTTAAAGCGATAAGCTTTTATAAATCACCACACATTAATATTTTGACAAAAAATATTTTGTTAGTCTTATGTAAAACTTATTTTCTCTTTTTTTGTTTTAATTTCTATAAAAAAATAGTATGAATATATGAATTAAATTCAACTCCATGACAAGATACATTTCGCCTAATTACAAAGGTCTTAATAAATACATTTTTTTAAATGGAGCAAAACTCATACAATGTAATTTAAAATGTGATTATAGTGATGATTAGTTATATTATGTTTATTAGTCTTGTCTGTTATTAGTAGTAAAAATATATGTTTTTTCCAGTAGTAATGATAAATGTAAGCAAGATGTAATACCTAAAGCTGATTATAGTGTTACGCTTTTGTCAGTGCGAGAGAGTTTGAGTCACTTGACTCAGTCAAATACCATTTTAATTCATCTCCACTACCATGTAGAGAGGTTCTAACCTTAAGGACCAATAAGGCTAGCTCACGTTCCGACGAATATGTGACGCTCAGAGATAAGACACACTCAGTATTCCTAGCCTAACACTTTATTCTTGTATCAACATATATATTTCTCCCAACTTGAGTCATACCAGCCAGCACACGTCCTTTAACACCGACGATCAAGATTAGACTAACTCACACCAAAATTCACAGCAACCAAGTCTCTACACAAATACGTCACTAACTTTCAATCGTGTCATCATACCAATGTGTTTACTATGCTCTTCACACCAACCTGCACTCAAGTTAATATCTATTGAAACATACATCATAACATATAGTCTTTACTATATGTTTATATTATGTTTAATTTACAAAACTATTACATTTTAAAGTATATTTTCAAACGTAAAAGACTCCCTGTTACTCAAAGATAGAATTGGTTTCTTCATAAACGACATACGTAATTAATGTTAGCTACTTTTTTTGGTGTTATAAATTATGTATTAATGTTAGCATCTATACAATTATAATAAATGTTTCGGCATCTGATATTTGTCTGTGTAATTTACCCTCTATTTCTACTAAAAACGAAAACAACATTGAATTAGTAAGTTTACAACACTTATTGTACATAATTATACTGCTGCTTTTTTACTTTCTCGTATATACGAAGTATAGAGAAAGTATTGTAATCGTGCACAAAAATCACTTGAAATTTTAACAATTTTCACCGTATTACACCTCAGTCCTTCATCACATCCGAAGTATAGAGGACTTATTTTAATCGGGCAAAAATTATCAATCCAGATTTATTAAAATTAAGAGGTTTTATGCGTAATCCAGTCTGAAAAACTGGACTTTGTAATTCTGTCCGTATGTCTGTGTGTCTGTGTGTCTGTGTGTGTGTGTGTGTGTGTGTGTGTGTAAACACGATAACTTGAGTACCATTACAGCTAGGTTGATGAAATTTCAAATATAAGTATTTTATCAAAATCGTAGATCCGTATCAACTTTAGAGCGATTTCCGATAACTGGAAGTGGTACTTTTCCTACTTTGAAATTTTCAAAAGCCTATAACTTGAGTACTATTTCAGATAGATAAACAAAATTTCATATGTAAGTAAACGATCTAATTCTCTACCTTCTGTTAAATTTTGAGTCATTTCCGTTGAGCGGAAGTAGTAATTTACGCTACTTCCGATTTCTCAAAAAACTAATGTAAATTTTTAAAGTACTAATAATATTGCGCACTATTTTGCATTTTTTTATTTAGCGTTCACTTGGTGTGCAATTCTTTTGTCTACGAGATTTTATTCTATTTTTAAAACTTTAAGTATTTAAAATGGATTAAAAATCATGTCTATAGCCCGAGTTCCCATCCCCTGTTATTTTATATAAAAATATTCGAGAAAGTTTAGGGGAGATCACTCCCGGTTTATTTAGATACAGTGTTAGAAACGTTACCTATAAAAATATTTTAAATGTGTTGTCTGTAAAAATAAGCTCTGTGTTTTATTTTTTCTATTTGTACATAGTACAGTGAGTCGTTTATTTAACATTTATAAACAAATGGATCGAAGTTAGCTCTAGACCGCCTTAATTGTCCTGTATCAAATCATTCTCATATATAGCTTCGTGATAAGGGTTATCACTATTCACGTTACGACACCTCTCTTCTACCCCAACAAAAAAAAACCTGAAAGATGTATATATTTTTCTGAGAGAGAGGATGTCACATAATTATGTATAGATTACCTAAATACAATGGCGTCACAAGGGTGTGGTGATTAAGGGGTGCGGACTACACCGAGCAACACACGACCTAGTGACGCCATTACATACATCCTTCACTCTACACTTTTTGAAATGAAGCTCTAGGAAGTATTATGTTAATCTATGTTAATTTTTCTTTAATTATCATTTACTCATAAAGATTGCCGCATGCCTGACATGAGTGTGCTAAGCTCTTATCACCCAGACTCAATGACGTCATCGGAGCTATACGATGACGTCATTACCAACCGGACCTCTGTAGACGCGTATGACAGTCACGTGGGTCCCGTGGAGTCGCTGGTCGAGGCTCTGACCTTGGGCACCATAAGCCTGGTCTCCGTGGTGGGTAACGCCGCCCTGTGGCTGGTCATCCTGGACAACAAGGGTCTGAGGATCGAGTCCAACCTGCTCCTCCTGTGTCTGTCACTCGCTGACCTGCTCGTGTCAACTGTCAGCATGCCGGTCACGGTGGTCACTATTACGTCATCAAGATGGATATTCTCAGAGTAAGTCTGCAAAGATTTAAAAAAAAATTAACAAAATCTTCATGATATGAAAGCTATTTTTAGCTTAATACCTGACATTATTCTTCTTGCATAATCAGAGAAATTAGTATCATAGTTTATGTTTAGGTTGGATAGTAATTAAGTTTCAGGAAATGGTTAAGTTTAAAGTGGGATCGATTTCGGCGACATCCATTTCAAATTACATTTCAATGTAGATAAAAGGTTTTTCTACATAGTATTTTTTTTAAGCTTTATCAAATTAATTGTATGTTTTATTCTTTCACATATTGCTCAATCATATAAAGCAGTAGAGACTTTAAAAAAAATGCTTTTTTTGGAAGTGTGTCAACGTGCTAAAAACAAATTTCTTGGGCAGGGCAGAGTGTGACGATACAAAATGCTTAAATAAACCAGAAAATACTTTGTACATTTTTATTTATATCGGGCTAAATACAAGGGGAGGAGGGTTTTGGAGGGGGGGGGAAGTGTTGAAGAGATCGACCCAACTGCTAACAATGGAAAATTTTGACAACGTGTAGTCACTCATACTGAAATTTTTCTATAATACTTTACAAAATACGTGAATGAAAGCAATTACTTTTTAAAGAAATTATTCTTTTTATTTTATTATTATTTATTTTGATTACAAAATGGAAAATTTTAGATAGCTTAGAAAATAAAATCTTCTCAATTACTGCCAGATTGACCTGCGTTGCTATGGGATACCTGAACATGATTACCTTCACGGCCTCCGTCCAGTCCCTGGCCGTCATCAGCTGGAACCGTTACGTGAAGATTTGCCAGCCACACAGGTACAACCAGGTCTTCACGTACCTGAAAACTGGATGTGTGTGTCTAGGTGAGTCAGATGAATCCTTGTGGGCAGGAGATTTGACGTGGCTGTCTTTTGTTACTATCGTTTCTTTAAAAATAACCATGTTCAGAAATTAGCGTAAGTACTTGCCCTCACACTAACAAAAACCCTGTCTCTCCTATCTCTGGCTGGGGTACTAATCCTAACCCGGACAGAATTAGCGATACCGGTAAAATGAGGTGAACATCGATACTATGTTGACGATTTCTAATAGAGATATTTTGTTCCTTGTTATATGTGTTATTGAGATAACTTACAGTATCGTAGTTTTCTAAAGTTCACGGGAATTTGTAAATGCTGGCCAGCAAGGTATAAAAATAAAAAAAAATAAAAATTCAAGTTTACTTTGGTCAACAAATCAGATAACTCACAACCTTTTAAAAACATTAACTTCATTAAACATCACATCTAAACTAGGTTGTTCTGCTTAAATTCAGGTATATGATTTTTTAAAACATATTTCTTTGTTTTTAAATTTACAAAGCGTCATATCGTATGTTCTACTTTCCCCTCCTCTAGGCGTGTGGTTGGTCTCCGGCCTGCTGTCCTTACCTCCCTTACTAGGCTGGGCCGCTTACAGCTACCTGCCCACCGCCTCTCTGTGCTTCTGCAACTGGGCGCTCTCCTTCACCTACGCCCTGTTCATGATCTTCGCCTGCTTCTGCGTCCCCTGTATCATCATGACTTTCTGCAACGTCAACATCCTCAGGGCCTTTCTCCACAGCCGTCGAGCTATCCAGGCTCACAAGGATAAGGACAAAGACCGTGTCTACAATCACTCAGAGGATAAAAACACTGATCAGTACACAAAGGCTACACTACTGTCAGTCAAGCCAAGTCTAGAAGGATCAGACATCAAGAGTGATGCTGATCTTCAAAATAACTCGCTGGAAATTTTTACAAAGAACAATTCAAACCGGAAGAATGCAGAATACGTTGATCCTCGTAGTGAAAAGGAAGATAACCCAGTATTTGACATTGAGTTATCGGACATGGGCAAAAGTAAGTTTCATACCAGTTTTAATTTTTTGTTGAAGAGGTTTAGATATTTTAAGAGCAAGAAGGTAGAAACAGATTCATTGAGAATAAAATCACCGAATTATCAGTGCAATATAGAATACGATGAAAATGTAGTAGGAAATGGAATTACTACAGATAAAACTGAGTTTCCAGTCGACAATGCTCACTCATATATTGTAGAAGCTACAAAAAACAAATATGGTTCTAGAATGGTTGGTTATGGTACTAATAAAAACGAAATTCTTAGAAAATTTGACACGAATAACTCTTGCACATTGCATAGTCCACAACAATTAGAGACGTGCTTGACATCCTGTCTTGGTGTTGTGGTCTGCGGAGAGTCAGCTCAAAGAAAAATCGGAACCCACAAAACAAATAACGAGAATTCAGTATTAGAAACTCGATTCTTCGAATCGGCAAAAAATGACAAGTTGTCTTTTGTAAACACCAATGTCGGTCATACGAGCCAGCTAAACGCCAAGGAAAGTTTAAACACCCACATCACTTCCGGTAAACTTTCGTCATCTGCGGATATCATAAGCTACACTCAATCTTCTCCCCCACCCCGGAAGCTGGTAAAAATCCAACCTCAGACGCTGAAGGTTAACATAGAACGACGCAGAAGAGAAGAGTTTCAAGTTGCCGCGAGTCTCGTCGTCGTCATCATCCTCTTCATCGTCTGCTGGTTCCCGTACTGCATCTCCATGTTCGTATCCGTCTTCACGCCGTCACGGTCATCACGTGGTCTAGACGTGACGTCATTGTTCCTGGGCTACTTCAACAGCTGCGTCAACCCGATCGTGTACGGGCTGATGAACAAGAAGTTCCAGACTGCGTACATAAAACTGTTTACTGCCTGTGTTCGGCCTGTGTGTAAAAGGAATCGACTAGATCTGGGAAAGAACTATTTGACCCGCTCTAACCAAACTGTGACTACCATCAGCACGTCTACCTGCACGTTAGATACGACATAACATTTAATCAGCTTGATCAATTCTACCTGGTTTTTAATGTAATTATATCATCATCTTTTTCCATATGTCAACCCGCCTTTGTTACCTCTCAGCTACGTCCTATATACTCGAGTCTGGCGCCCAAACATGAGATTTCAGGTTTAAAACTTTCTTCATCGCTCGTTTAAACAATACTTTAAAACGTAGTCTGTATACAGATTACAAATATTTACTGCCTTGTAGGTTTAATAATGTGAATAATTGGTTGAATATTTTGCTATAATTCTGTATAATCATTGCTCACGTTAATCTGTCCGCATAAGGGAAGAAAAAAAGAACGAACCAAAAGAGTGAGAGGTGGAAAGTGAAAAAAAAGAATGAAAAGAATTTTCAGATTTAAACTTTTTTTTTTCATGATTATGCTTCTCTCAACAGGCTCTGCTTCTCATTTGGCTAGAATTGTTACAACTCTTTATTTTACAATCTGTTTTATCTCAAACACTTAAGCTTTGCATACGTTAGCAGAAATAAGAAATTAGCATTTCTCGAATGTATAGTCCCAGCCGCAATAATATGTTTTTATTGTCATCTCCTGTGTGCCGTACTGGCTTATTTAACACGAAGGTTGTGGTGGCAGAAGAGTTCTTTCAGGCAACCCCCCCACTCCCCCTACCCAACAAGTGAAATTTAAGAGCGCCCCCTACCGGAAGTTCCACGATCTGAAAAAAACCTGGTGGCAGAAAGGGCGTGGAGTGGAGTGGGTATTTCCACCGATCAATTATCTGTATTTTTATAATGTACTAACGATGATTTAAGAAAAACAAAAAGCTTTTAAAAATGGAGGATCAGTTTAATAGGAAAGAAAAAATATATTTCATGCAAACAGAAAATAATTTTCCAGAACTGTATTCAATTGGTGAAATATATAATTCTTAGAAATGGAATAACTATATATATATATATATATATATATATATATATATATATATATATATATATATATATATATATATGGTTCCATATGACAGTCAATTAAAAATAATCAGATCAACTAAAATCATCCAATACACTATTAAAATTTTGCTGTGAGATATTTTGTTTCAGATATTTTGTCTGAGATCAATTGTCCGTGGTATCATTTGTCTTGATATATTTTGTCCTGGTATCAATTGTCCGTGAGATCATTTGTCCTTGAGATCATTTGTCCGTGAGATATTTTTTCTGAGATATTTTGTCTGAGATCATTTGTCCTGAGATAATTTGTCCTGCCAAGATATATTTACTTATTTATTTATTTAAAGTAACATGTATATTTTTCTCATAAAACTATGATTTATCACCAAATGTAATAAAAATTATTTGATACGTGAGATAAAACCTTAAATAATAACTTAAAGCTGCGAATTCCAGACCAAAATCAAAGCAAAATCCGCCTCAGTAACTATTGTTACAGTAATTCGAAAATAATTTTATAAAGAATGTCAAAATGCGTTTAATATTTCACAAATCTAAACAATTTTTGTACTACATGCATTATTGATTCATAATCTGAGTACTCGTATGCGATGAAATTATAAAAAGAAAAACAATTCCTTTAGAATTACAAGATATTTAGATCTTGAAATACCTACACTTATCACTTTAATTTGCAAAAATAAAATAATCTGATATATAAGCATTGAGAGAAGAAACTGACCGCTTGCTTCAACATACAGTTGGATATTTGAATGACACGTTTTTCTTTGCTTTAGTACTAAGAAACTAAGAATTAATGTAACAACCTCCCTCTTTGTTCAAAAATGCTGCATACAGATGTTTGGTTTCTTTTGGCTCTACTAGTTGGACACTGCCTGTCTTGGTCCGTGTCATGTTGTCGTAAGCAGTGTTTTGTTCTGGAAGAGAGATTTTTACAATTCTTATACAATATAATAATAAAATATCAGTAGGTAACCATGCCGATAAATAAATTATATATATATATATATATATATATATATATATATATATATATATATATATATATATATATATATATATATATATATATATATATATATATATATATAAGATACAATGATTTTGATCCGGTATCCAAGTCTCTTTGATTATAACAAAAAGACAATGCCTCAATGATTGTGACCCTTTTATGATGAATCAATATCATGGCCATGTATCACAGACCATAACATGTCACCTACCATCTGTCACTGACAATGATCCACTATCCATGTTCAATTTGTTATACTAAAACACAATGACTCAACATGTTCCAATATTCACGCTCTTATGGCATTGGCAACGTGAATTTTTGACATAGTGACCATAAACCATTATAATGACTCAGACCTAAATACCCATTTCTCACTGACCTTATGTCACTGATTCTTATCCAATGATCATGATCTAGTGTTCATGACTCAATATACATACTTTAGTGGTCATGATTTTCATTGATTTTATAAAACAAATACTATGTATTAATATTACAATCACCTTGAAGATCCAAAACATCTGAATACAAATTTAGCTCCACTTGATTAACATCCTCGACCTCTGTCCCTGTGATTTTTCCACAAACAGTGTTTTCCTCTGGAAGATGATATTAAAACAAGCTGATACAATATTACAACGCTTAATTATAATAAATGTTAGCTTAATTATACGGTTACATTCAATCTACTTTATCATCGCCAGGTCGTCAATAACCAAATGTCCGTGATCCAATGACTTTAATCCAGTACAATGTCTCTCTGGTTATGATCAAACAAGTAGAATTTAACATCCATGTCACATGTCACAATATAGATTCATGCTCAGTTACAATGACCCAGTGATCGAGACCCAATGTACATGACTAAAAAATCAAACTGAATATTTAAGAAGGTATTAGTGGCTTAAAATAATTGTTTCATTAAGCAGGAATTTTTCTTGTGTACTGTAATATAGCAGCATAATCAAAATTTTATAATTATTTATTTCACTTTATGCTAGTATATTTTACTTGTTTGGTTCTCGCTGTCTGTGCTGTTTCCAGATTCCTTCAGTGACGGTGTTTTACGACGAAACATAACAACAAGCACCACTGCAAGCAGGGATAACGTGACTATAGCACCAATGCCAGTCCCAATGCCGATCCCTGCAGCTAGACCAAGCGAATTAATCTTTTCTTAAAGACAAACACATTAATGACTTTATAAGAATATAGTGTTTTCCAGGTTTTTAAAAAAATAAAACGATTGTGTTATTTTTATAAAGCTGTTATAAAACTGTTATTTTATAATAGTAGCGTAGAAATGAATGTTATATAAAAAGCACAATTTAGAACAGTATAGTGAAACGAAATAAAAAGCTTTTTTTCTGACTAGACATGCAATTTTACGATCTCTGAACAATATAAAATTACTAGACGATCCAGTTTTCCGTTGAAAACAAAACGGTCTGTCGGCTGCAAAGCTACATTTTTAAACATTTTGGTTGCTGCTTTTTATTTTTAACTAATCTAATTTTTGAAGCGGATACAAAATTACAATAAATTCTTATTATTCCTGAATTAGAAAATCTGTCAAGCATGTCCCTTAGTAGTTTTTAGGGATTAAAAAAGTTAGATAGGCCTACATTGAAATACACGCTGATTCCTCACAGCACTTAGCATTAGAAAAGGGTATCTGAAAACGCCACCCTTACAACCGGACATAATTTATTTTAAGTATGCAAATAATTCTGATCTATTGTATTGTTGCTATCTGTCTGTCTGTGCGTATGTGAAAAACGATAACTTGAGTACAGTCTCCGGTTGAATAGAAGTCATATTTGGAATCCAGAGCTGGTATTTTACTCTATCTTCTGTTTAAAAGCCTTTTGTTATCCCGCTGTATAGATTCAAACAAATTTACCCATTGTGTAGACAGAAAAGTTCTCAGTCCTTGGTATTTTTCTCTCTGTAGTGAAACTAAATGTTTCTGTTCTTGTCATGGATGTCGGATATGTATTTGTGTTAGTTTCAGATTTTGTAGTTGTCTCTGTAAATTAGATCAAAGTAAAAACGTTAAGCACAGTTGTTTTTATTTTTTATTTAATAGTTTTATTTCGTTGGAAGAAATTCCACATTTGGCCTAATTATAAAAAATGTAACGCTTGTTTATTTCAAACTTTATTTGATGTCCAGTAAACGAAAGTGGTATTTTGTTCTATTTTTGCGAGAAGACAATTCCATGATAACATTTCATTTAGATTCAATTAGATGCAATTAAACTTTTTAAAATATATGTATTAGAACTTGTACTTAGATTTCTATTCAATTTCGATTGATTTCGGAGAAACGGAATGGTTTCTATATTGTATTTCCCATTCAAAATGAATAAAAACATAAAAAAATTAATAATTTTTATATCAATTCCTTATAAGTCTTGTTCTAAAAACTTTTTGCCTCTAAGTGCTTCCTCGAAAAATAAGTGATTTTGTCACTTCTATTTTTCTATAGCCTGATTTTGCTAACAGTGCTATCGCAACTCCTAATGCTATATCTATATAGATATAAAAGAAAGTGGTCCGATGATTTCTGAGGCACTTGCCGGCTTCGTAGGCTCTTCAAATTTGGCAGGCGCTCGCATCCGGCGAAATGAACAGGGGGAAAATTCGGTTAGACTCCAGGCTTCACCGTGGGATATAGAGTGACCACGATTTATATGAGCTATGTATAAAAAAACCTGAACAACCACACCGCAACTGACAATTCGTGAGCTTGCAGACCAAAGTCCTCGGATACCAGAAAAAACGTGTCATATCTGGGAAAAATCGGTAAAGCTGACCAATCATATTTCCCTATATAAACATTGTAATTTTTGCGAAAAACAGGGAAATTTTATAAAATATTTTATGGTACTTACTCACTGTACAACTCGCTAAATTTTTGTGTGCACCTTGGACATATGCGAAAACTGTAGGTCAGGTTCTAGGCCATCGCCAAGGGCTAAAAATTGACCACACATATAATATTCTGGGTTTTTGAAATGGAGGAAATT